AGCCCGGCTCACCGCGGGTGGCGCGGAGCGGGTTCGACGCTTCCCTCAGCCCTGGCAGGATGCTGCCTTCTTCCCGGACCCAGCTGGGGCTCTTCTTCATCCTCCTCTGCCCCGCCAATATCATCGGGCTCTGGTGGTGAGTAGGACATCCCGGGGGGGGATGCAGAAGGGCACGCAGGGTCCCTCGATCTCTGGGGGTGGTCCTCCCACCCCAGCTTGGGGATAACAGAGTCCCCTACACCCAGGGCACAACTTGGGTAGGAACTGCTGCTTGCTGGCCAGGAGGATCCAGATCAAGGCACTCACATGCTGTCAGGGTTTGGGCACACAAGTGTGTTGGGAACAGCAGGCTGGAGCTGCCCCAGGGGTATGGGGCACACAGGTCCTGTGGGGAGAGCTGCAGTCTGCCTCCCTGCACTTCAAGCCTTCAGCCTAGGAGGGTTGTATGCCTGAGGGGTGGGGAAGGTGGGGTAGGGGCCTCCAGACCCCTCCAATAAGTCAACTTTAATTAAAAGCCCGAGGGTCCCTACCATGTCCCCCCTGAACAGTGGCCTGGACACAGCAGGGACAAAACCCCTATTTGTAATGGTGCCTTCATCAAAGGCAGAGACGGTGCCTTGCAGGATACCAGAGGGGGTGGGGGATTCATTACAGGCACAGAGCTGGGACCCAGCCTTGGAAAGCCCAGGTATCTGTCGAAACATGAACTATTTAAATCTATTAAGAATTTCACCCAGCCTGTCTTTATCCGGTTTTAAGTGCTTAGATTCCAGCTCCCCGGCGTGCCGTCCGGGCTATCATTCATTATCTGAGGCTATTCGTCTCCACATTGTCACACTCTTTTGACCCCTAAAATAAAGCTCTCCATAAGCCTTTCCCCTCTTGGTCCACTGCCTGCCCACCAGTGATTTATTCTACATCTCCATTCCCTTTGCTAGCCCTGGCTCCAGGGATGCAGGGCAAAAGCAGGGGCCTTGGTGAGTATAAATGGTGCTGTTATGGTCAGTTGTACACCAGCTAAGTTTGTCCCAGAGCAAAAACTTGGTTTATTGCCAGACAAAGGTTTAACATGGGTCTGAGAGGGGCTTGCCTTGGTTTTTTGCTAGAGGAGGGGAGAATGAGGCAGGGCAAGCCCTGGTCAGGGCAGGGTGTGTGTGGAAGATCTCCATGCTCCCTGCCACCCACCTCAGGGTAGATATGCAGGACTCATTCCCTCCTGCTGCCTGAGACCTGCTGTATTTCTCTCGCTAATTCTCAGACCCATACACAGCTGTCCCTTCAGCTCTCCATGCTTTCTCTGCCCCATCCTCATCAATACTCACCCAGTGAGCCCTCACCTTCAATCTCATGCCCTGTGCTCCAGCTTTGAGGACATCTACCCATGGCTGGAGCAGGTAAAGGTGAAGCAGAAGTTAATTTTGCCTTCAATTTAGGGGCAGGCAGACGGCACCGGCAAGGGCAGGGTGCTGGGGTACTGCTGCCCCCTGCCCTGGCAGCTCAGAGCCACATCTTACCGTGGAGCCTGGGTCCTGCTGATGCTGTGACCATGCTATACGTGCGCTGGCAGAACCGACTTGGGGAGATTAGCAGGATTTGGCAGAGGAGGGCAAGGGGTCAAACTTGTTTTTTCTTCTTTTAAAAAATAAGAAGGGAAGGAACCTTTAATTTAAGAATAATAAGAATAATGCCTGCAACATGGCTGAATGCACTGGGTAGTGGAATGGCTGCAGAGGGATCACCAGCTTGCACTCTACTTCACTCTGGAGCCAGCAAGCCCAGAGGAGGTGGAGGTGGTGTGTGGATGAGGCCACCAGCACCACCAAATGGACGTGCTGGGCTTCCCTGGACAGGGCACAGGAGCAGCTGGCTGATACATGAGCTGCTTTCCAGAGAGCTTGGGTTTTGGCCCCTGGCTGAGATCATCCCTTATTTCCACGGAGCTCTTCCCATGCTGGGGAGAGAAGTCCAGGTGCTGCCTGACCCCTTGAGCCAGCTCATGAGGCATCTTCCCATATGTCTGTTCCTGGTCCTGTCTCCCAGGTCTGGGTAGCACTGGTGTTTGTGAGGTTTGCTGTTGGAGGAGAGGGGTTCAAGTATACAGCCATATGTTGTGCCAGAGTTCCTGGAAGCCCCAAGGCTGGTGGCATTGATAGAGATGTTCCTTGCTGTCGCTGTCACTGATGCATAGGAACTTCACTGGCACACCTTTATGTGTGCATCACTGGGCACCTGTGAGTGCTTAGCCAAGGGAGCATGTTTCCCTGGCAAAGAAAGGAATGTCTTTACTGCCCCCTCTATCCCACCCCTTACTACATTAGCTGTGTGGTGGTGGGGATGCAGGGGTTGCCTGTTTGAGGCAATTTTTTCACCCACTGGTGGCAAACTAATTTTTGAGAGAGGCACAATAGGGTGTAGCTGGGTTGGGTCCCAGGAGACACAGTCCCCAGCCAGGCCTGGTGTCCTGGTTTTAGCTAAGGTAAAGTTAATTAAAAGCATGACACCTGGCCACTCATGAGTGGTAACTGCACCTGTTGGGATCCTGGCAGATGGCTGCATCTATGGAAAAAGGTTCAAGTGTGACGTACGAGCACTGACATCATGCTAGTGATGTTGTAGCCTGAGAAAGAGCATCCTTGTTGTGTTAGGATGCCCCCACAGTGCTCACTGAAGATACAGTCACACCACCTTAGACACACCCTGTGCCCCTGTGTCTAAGAAGAAGCAAAGGGGCACAGGCAGACACAGACCTTTCCATGGCAGAGGGAGCAGGCTATGGTCAGTGCCAATGGAAATTGTGCCACTCAGGTGCTGCTGGTACCTTGGTTAGTGCCAGGCTGCAGGGAATAGGCTCCCCTTGCTTCCACCAGCCCAGTAAATTCTCTTTCTTCCTCCTCCCCTCTTCTTTAGGTGTTTCTCACCCAGCTCCTTGTGCAACAGTGATTTCTCCCTGAGCAGGACAAGTAGGGACTGCCTGGGGCTCCTGTGCTGGCCCAGAGGGTGAAGGATACAGGGCTTGCAAATGTAGTGTCTGAGGAGCCCCGGGCAGGTTCAGGGCATGATTTCAGCCAAGCCGGTTTGTGGTTGGGCTGTGCTTGCAGGAACAGAGGCACTGTGGGGATAGGGGTGAGCAAAGCCAGGCTTCCTGAGTGCCCATTGGCTCTCCATAGGCATGGCTGAGAGCAGCTGGGAGATGGAAGAGAGAGCAAGGGAGAAAACCATCCCAGCTAAGATGTGCTCCATTCCAGCTGTGGGTCTGATGGGGCCTGGAGGGATGGACACCTGCCCATCTGTGCACAAGAGCACTGCACCTCCAGTTTTCCATGGGGCTTCTTCAGAGGCACTCATGGAGGACCCACCCCCTAGCACCTGTGGCTGTACCCTTGTTTGAGAGTCCCAGTCCTGCATCCCCTGTTCCACACAGCTCTGGATGGTTTCATGCACCAGTGGCCTCTCCTTCTCTTCCACTGCCCTGACCAGCACCCAGACTGCTGAGAGCCTGTAAGAGCAGGCTGCTGGGCTGTAGGGCCCTGCCTGCATGACTTTGGGTGAGCACTGTGAGTCACTCTCTGGACTTGCTGACCTACAGCTGCCACCCCACAGCGCCCAGCAGACGGGGCTGCCCAGCCATCCTGGGCATGCCCTCACCCCTGGAGCAACACCATACAGGAAGCAATGAATGTCCCAGTGTGGTGGCCCTGACCAGTGCCATTTCCCTGTGCCCCTATTAAAGCAGCTGCTGACCCTCTGGGTTTTTCAAGTGGAAAATGTTTCCCTTGCACTTTTTGAGATGGCTACTGGCTCCAGCATTAGGCTACTTGTGTTCTCTCCCAAAGCAACTGAGCTTTCACCCATACCATCCCTTGTCCTTGCTCCTGGTCACATCCACTCTCACTTGGTGACACCCAGGCTCTCCAACTCTGCCCTACACATACCCCAAACTGGAGGGCTTGTCTGGGCTTTGCATCAGAGGCTTGATCCCTTCAAATACCCCTCATGTAGGAGGATGCTGGGCAGAGCTGAGCACACCCCGATATTTGCTCAGAATTTGCAGGGTCCTGCTGCCACATGTGGCACCTGTATTTGGACATAAGCTAGCCCAGCCCTCATGCTACCCCAGCTCCAGCCTCTGCCAGAACCCAGAGGAAGAACACACTGACCACGGGTGGGTGGATCTCTTACTTTTTATCCCAGCCCTTCTAGGGTTTGGACACAGCTTTAGGACCCCCATCTCTGCAGGTACCTGCTCCCTCCATCCTCCCTGGTACCTGTACCACAAGTTTGGGCAGCTACCGTTCACAGGCACCTGGCCTCAACATGACCCTGCAACCAGCAGGTCCATGGGTTGATGCCATGCCATGCCAAGCCAAAGTCTCTTTTCTTTAGGCAGCTGCCCATCTGTTTGCATGACATTCTTGCCAAGGAGCTGTAAAGAGGAAGGTGGGGCACAGGGTCCCCCTGCTCTCCCCAACCTGCGGCATTTCCTGCTCCCTCAGTGCCCCCGTCCTGCTCAGCAGCCAAACCCTGGCTGTGCCCCCCCAGGGCAGTGACTTGTTGCTTACTCACCACACCCTCATGGGCCTCCTGCTCTGTTTTCCACACCCAGCTGCCCCGGTTAGTGGCAGCACCCACGCATCGCCCCGGGTGAGGGGTCGAGCGCCCGCTACACTTCAGCATGAGCTGAAGCACAAGCTGGACGGGGGAAAATTCTTCTGTGTGTCCCCCTCACCCTGTTTGTACACCTCGGAAAGAGACAGGTTCCCTTCGTGTTTGACTTCCTTGTAGGGCTGTCACTGAATGTGTCATCACTGTGTGGGACATGGGGTGACCCGTTCCCCCAAGGGGTGGAGATCAGTTCTCCATCCTGCAGTTCTTACCTCTCCAAGTGGATGCAGAAGCACCTGTGGGCTCAGAGCGATGAGCCGGGTACCCCAGCATTGTGCACTCCCTTCCTGACGGCACTCAGGGACTGGGATAGAGACCTGGATGTGAGGCAAGACATGCCCTTACTACCCCACAACAGCATCCCCTTGCCACATGGGAGCACACAGGCAGCAATACTCAGTGGATTTAGACCTAGCAGGTCCAACATGGAGCTGGCATGGCACAACCACTGCACTCCTTTGGGGTTTCAAGGCCATCAGGATCAAAGGAGGCATTTTTCACCCAAGATGTGGGTGCCACTTTTGAAGGCTGACCATCCTCTTTCTCACTGCATGATTCTGCCAGCCTCACTCCACTGGCTTCCTGCAAACCAGGACCTCACTGGCTCCCCTTGATCCTGTCTGCTGACAGGGGCTGGGAGAAGCCTTGCTCCACACCATCCCCATGCCCAAGGGGAAGATGATGACTTGAGCCAGGCTCCTTCATCTATGATTTTGTCTGGGAATGAGACTGGGGCATACTGGAGGCTCTGTGACTGTGAGCTGAGCTGGAAAAAGCTGGTGATTATGGCTCTTAGGAACACCCGGCTCTGTTGCACAGGGAGAGCATCTGGAGCAGAGGGGTTGCATCAGAAGCCCCAGTGACTCCTGTTTGGTGTGTGTCACTGGGACAGGGCTCAGGCTGCAGCTGTTGACAGCCTAAGGGGTGACAGCAGCAGTCTAGTGGTGGATTGCAGCTCCTTTTCTGTGCCTCACTCTCCTCTTTCACCAATGGGGGTTGTTTCACTTACACAGGGGTGCTGGGAATTGGGTCGGGAAGCAGGGCTCATCATCCCATCTTCTCTGGGGGCAAGATAGCAGCCACCCGGCAGCGGTTCTGGCAGCCAGCAGGGTACTTGGGGCAGACGGGACAGATGCTGCTGAGCCGCTGAGCCTGGCTGGGGGCTCTAGGGCAGGAGGTGGTAGGGGGGGCCGGGGTGCCTCAGGTAAGTTGTGGGGAGCCTGGCTGGCGACCCTGTTCCTTCACCAGGGCAGGGGGAGGAGTGCCCAGCGGCAGAGGTGGGGCACCTTAATTGTAGATGCGGGAGGCCTTGGAGCAGGACAAGCTCAGGCAGATCTGGGCCCTGTGCTGGAGCCCTTGCCAAAGTGGTAGCAGTTTGGCAGCATTTTTCTTGCCCTTGTCTCCCCCCATGCTCCCCCCCTCTCCGAACCCTCCAAAGCAAAACAGCTCTTGGGCTCCCAGCAGCCTTCCTGTGCCAGAAAGTGGAGCCCAGCGGAAATTAATATTGTGTTGGACTTAGGCAGCCCACCCCACGCCTCGTCAGCACGGTCAGCGAGCTCCCGCGTTCTCCAGCCAGCTTTGCTGCTGCCTGGACCATGGGTGGGGACCCCCGTGGTGCCGGGGAGCCGCCCCCCAGCCCTGCAGGGCTGAGCTCTTCTTCCCGGCTTGATCCAGCGGGCTGGGGTGAGCCGCAGTTCAGTATTTGATCTGATGGCCCTGGGGCACGAGCGCGTCGTTTTTATATGAGTACAAAGAGTCATCTCTTAATGAAAGTCCCATCCCAGCTCCCCTTCTTCCCCACCCCACTGGAGGAAGCAGCCAAACCTCTGCTGTCCTGTTGTAGATGTTGGGAGCCCACGGTCCCCAAGGACAGCAAATTTGGAGCCCAGCATTGAGGCTTGGATCCCTGTGTGGTCATCATAGGATTAGACTGGACAGATTTTCTGGTTACGTTCCATGTGGGCCTCAGTTTCCCCATCTATGGGGGAGCTGTGCCAGGCAAGCCACAGTTCTGAAATGCTTCCCCAGCTGCCCCATCCCTTTGGAGAGGTGCAGCAAAGGGAAGCTGAGCTGCCAGGAGCAAAGGGAAATGGGTTCTTCCCAGCAGGAGTGTGGGCTTGCCTCAGTCTCCCTGCTGGAGATCCCCTTTCCAGGCTGTGCATCTCTGTTTAGCTGTTTAACCCTTTAAACCTCCAGCCAAAGCATAAGGGCTCCTTTTCCAGGCTGTGCAAGAGAGCACGTCCTCCCTAAGCCCAGCTGGGGTCTGATGGGCACGAGATGCAGGCAGCTGGGGAGCCTGGCTTGGGGCAGGGAAATCCTGGCAGGACCTTGAGCTTCAGACCTTGGAGGGAGCTTGCACTGGGGACAGGATGGCAAGCAAAGTCCTGCAGCTTAGTATCCCAAACACAGACCCCCAGCTGGGTGAGAGTGAAAAGGAAACCCAGAACACAGTTATACAGAGATTCAGCTTGTGATTTTTGAGCCCCTGGGGCTTGGCCAGATTATAAAGCTCTGGGTTTGGAAGTTGCAGTGCAGGCAACGCTCCCCAGTGAGTGAGGCCGACGGCAGCACAGGTTGCCCATGCACTGCTCCCCAGGGGACTCCAGGGAATGTGGCTTCACTGTCCTCAGGCACCCCTAGGTGTTGAAGTATACTGAGTCCAACCCATAGGTTCTGTGGGCATCCACAGACAGGAAAATCATGTTGTTGAGCAGGGTGAGCTCTGAGCCCACAAGAGCGGTGCTGGAGGTGAGGGAGGGCTGAGTGGGGCCGTGTTTAGGGTGTGCTAAATTTGTGTGGCCCATGGCCACACTGCCTCCTTGCCATGGGATGGGAGGCACGGGTGTGAGGCCGCCAGTGTGGCACGCCTGCCCTCTAACCACTGCGGCTCCTGTGTTGCCCAAGGCACAGCTGGAGCATCTCCCGCCTCAGCATGTGGCAAAGTGCCGGCGGGCTGCAGAGTTCCACGAGCTGCGCTGTGGAGGGCACTCCGGGCGAAATGTGTGGGGAAAGCACTGAAGTTTCTGTAGCCAGCGGCACACTGGGGAGCACGGCATCATGCTCAGACTTTGCCTCCCAGCTCAGAGAGCCAGGCATCTCGCTCCAGCTGTGCTGGCAAGGAGGAGCCACCTCTGACATGGGCCCAGCCAAGACTTGCCCTCCCGCGTTGGTATTGGCAGAGCTCGCGATGCCACCTGCATCCCTCCCTCGCACTCCTGCACCCGCCTGCAGCTCCATTCCCTGGACCTAGTGCCTGGATTCAGGGAGGTGAGTGCAGGAACCTGGCCAGCAGCCAAGGTGCTTTATCACAGGCAAGGTCACACATCTTGTCTCCCACAGGGTAAAGCAGAGAGCCCCCCTGGAGAGGGGGAGATGCTCCAAGAGCACTTAATGGGCTCCTCACTGTGTCCACAGCTCTGGGAGATGCAGCTGCACCAGGCATCGGTCATACTGAGATGCCGAGGCTGAATTGGGTCAGCGCCAGACCCAAAGAGCAGGTGCTGAGTAGCACAGTATCTCTGCCATCTCCCATCAGGGACACTGCCATTACCCCCTGGGATGCCCCCAACAGTATGGAGTGGTATGTTCCAGCATCATCCCATAGCCAGTTCCATGGCTGGGTATCCTCCCCGTTCCCCTACTGGCTGGGTAGGGCAAGGTATCCCCTGGGTGATGGCACACAGGTGCCACCCATACCTTTTGTCCTGTCCTCCCTGCATATCTCTCTCTGTCCCTTTGTCACCTGAGCTCAGCACTGAACTGTCACTGCCCTGCGGCCCTGCTCTGTCCCTGGGAGCAGGTCTCGTCATGCCCCATCCACACCTTGATCCCTCCTGAGCTTGGGTGCTGGTTTTGCTCTGCTCGTCTGTCCCCTCCTGCAGGGCAGTGGGGAGCCCTCTGGTCATGGACCCCAACAGCATCTGCCGCAAGACGAAGCGGCTGGCAGGCAAGCAGGCGGAGCTGTGCCAGCTGGAGCCAGAGATTGTGCAGGAGGTGGCCAAGGGCACCAAGCTGGGCGTCCGGGAGTGCCAGTACCAATTCCGCTTCCGCCGCTGGAACTGCACCAGCCACAGCAAGTACTTCGGCAAGATCTTACAGCAGGGTAAGGCCAGTGCTTCCTCAGCCTCCCATTTTTCCGAAAAGCCTCCATCCGGTCACACACCCCCCCAGGACTCCTGGAGCAGTCTTGGCGTGCAAACCTGTGTGTGTATGTGTGTGTGTGTGTGTGCATGTAGGGGGTTGTTCAGCGTTCCCTGGTGCAGTCACAATGAGGTTTTACTGCTGGGACATGTCTTCCTGTGTTGTAATGAAGCAATTACCGATGCTCCCAGACAGCACGGGGCTTCATGAAGCCCAAGAATGCACCCTTGTCTGGCAGTGATTTACTGCTCCCCCAGGACCCCAGGGTGTGATGGGGGAAGGGGCCTAGGTGGAAGGCAGTGCGCAGCCTTTGGGAGCTGCCCCTCACCCTGTGGGTACCCTTCACTTCCCTCCTCCTGGTCTTGCAGGAAGCAGAGAAGAGGGGTGCTTGTCCCCTGTCCGTGCCTGTGGGTGGGCACCCTGATGTCACCCCAAGGAACAGGGCCAGGGGCAAGAAGGGATTTGCAGGTCCCAGCCAGACGGATACAGTGGTCCAAGCCTGGCCCCGCTACATCAAAGTCAGAGAAGGAGCAGAGCAAGAGGGCACCTGTCAGTGTGTAAGGGAGGGGAAAGCCCTGCCATGCTCCCCAGGAAGAGAGGCTGGGGGTGGATGGTGATTCAAGCAAGGGGGGACCACAAGTTTGAAGCACCTCAGGCTGGTAGGATCACTTAGTGGGAGGTGAATTTAGTCCTGCCCCTGTTCCCATGTTGGTCCCTGTGCCATAGTAGATGAAGACGTTGGAGCAAGCCCCAGTCTCCTTGGCCGTCACATCTCCTGTTCGTGCATGGTCAGGCCCAGGCAAAGTGGGTATGTCCTTGGGCCATGAAGAGGGGTCAGGGTGGCCTCCTTGGGGGCATTGGAAAGGGTGGGGTGCCCTGGGCACCCAGTGGCTGCAGGTGCCAATGGGGGTCTCTCTGAGGGAGACACTGGCCTGTGGAAGGGGGACAGGCTCATTTTGCAGGTGTGGGTTGCCCCCAACAGAGGAAGGTGTATTCAGTCAAGTGGCAGAGAGCCACAGCACATGGGGGACACTCTTGCCTCTGGGGTCACCTCTTTTCACCCCAACCTGGCAGCAAGGCAGGTGGGATCTGTGCCAGGCAGGGATCCAGACCGCAAGTAGGATGGTACCAGAATGCGACGGCCAGACTGAAAGATAATGATTGATGTGCTGCTGGTAACCCAGGAGCAGCTTAGGTTGGGGGAGACACAGGTACATCAGGCATGGGGATGCTGAGGGAGCCACCATGTTGGTTCAGCCTCATTGCTGGGGTGGTAGAGATAAGCAATATCCTGAAGACAGGGATAAGTTTGGGAGTCCCTGGCACTCTGAGGACATGGGGCACCCCAGGTAGAGGTGTGAAGGTCCTCAAGGCCACAAGATGGGCGTCAGAAGCCCTGCTCTGAGAGATGCCTGTAGGCACCAGCCTCCCTGTAATCCTATAGGGATGCATAAAGCATCCTAGCATTTTTGGGGTTCCCAGCTCCATCAGATGAGTACCTCCCATCCAGGATGAGTACCTTTTCTATCCAAGGATGCTGCAGTGGGCTCCTGTTTCCAGTTGTGGTCTCCCTAGCACAGACAAAGCTGTCCCCTCTTCCCTCCCTGCTGCCTGTGGCAGGCGCGGCATGCCAGGGCAGGCTGGCGTGGGGGCAGCCGCGTGTCTGGAGGAGCTGTCAGAGGAGTGGCATCCCTCTGGGCCCAGCTGGCAGAGTGGCATGGGGAACTCTGCCAGCTATGGGCTGCCTGCTGAGGGTTCTACCAGGCCCAGGCAGGAGCAGGTGGGTGGTCAGGTGGCTTGGGGGGGCAGGAGGGCTTGGGGAGGGGGTGGCATCCCTTGGGTGGCATTGTCAAAAAGGCACTGGTGTGCCCAGTTCCTGCTAACACCAGTGGGACTCGCTGCGTGGGTTTTTGGAGAAGCCACTCATGGAACTGGTGCCCTGGAATCCCTCTTCCCACAGCCTCCCCAAGTCAGAATGCTGGAGATGGGGGGACGGATCACCATCCAAAGCTTATCTTCCTCTCCCTCCCCAGGAACCCCCTGCGTGTCATCACCCTGGGCCAGTCTTGCCCTGGCTTTTGGGTGGGCAGGGATTCCGCAGGCACGGAGTAGGGGGAGCACAGGAGCCCCCTTAGCAGGGCGCCACACTCCCGCTGCCAGAATCCCCCGCTGGCTGCGGCTGCGAGCGGCAGGTCTGGGCAGGGGAAAGATGCTTGGAATTTGTGTCCCGGAGCAGAGAGAGACAGGAGCAAATACTAATAATAAATAATCCTGCAGGGTGGAGGCTGTGCTGGTGGAGAGAGGGGGGCAGGCGGTGCCCCATGGCAAAGCAGGTATGGGGGCAGAGCAGGCAGCATGGCATCATTGCTGCCACCCTGCAGGGGAGTGAGTGGCATCCTCCATATCCCTCTCAGTGCTTCTGTCCAGGTGCCAGTTTGCATCTGGGGATAGGATTTTTCCTGCTTGGAGGGATATTGCAGGGTAGTGTGAGGAAGCTGTGAGTACCACCTGGGACCGCCCCTGCTCTCCAAGCTTCCCTCTTTCCTACGGGGCAGCACCCATCCTTGCAAGGGGAGGTTGTCTCTCCACAGCTGGGGTGGAGGAACACTGGCATGGCCTGGCCATCCCCCACATTCTTCATATCTGCTTGCAAGAGGCAGTTCTTGCCCCAGGCATCCTGTACCTAGGTGGGTGCATCACCCGGGGAGCAACGTTGAGCACAGATGAAAAGGGCGAGAAGTGGGAGGTCTTAGACGCCAGGGGATGCTAGCCCGGGGGGGCGGTGCTTTGTTTGCAGAGCCTTTGCCGGAGCTGACCCCACATCCCGGCCCTGTGTGTTCTCCTGCAGATATCCGTGAAACAGCCTTCGTGTATGCCATCACGGCGGCCGGGGTGAGCCACGCCATCACACAGGCCTGCAGCATGGGAGAGCTGCTGCAGTGCGGCTGCGAGCTGACACGGAGCCGGACTCCTCCCTCCCCCACGGCGGGTCCGGGCACGGAGGGCACGGCCTGGGAGTGGGGGGGCTGTGGGGACGATGTGCAGTTCGGCTACGAGAAATCCCAGCAGTTTATGGATGCCAAGAACAAGAAAGGCAAAAATGACATCCGAGCTCTTATCGACCTGCACAACAACGAAGCCGGGCGCTTGGTAAGGCCCCTGTGCTCCTTGTCCTCTGCAGGTATCTGTGCCCTACCCAGCTCAGCCCTCCACCCTTAATTTCCCCAAGCCATGTACCTGCACCAGCTTCGGCTGAAATGCGGACCCAGTATTTTTCAGGAACTCTTTGCAGGTGCTTTGGAAACCCCCTGTGCCCCTCTCCACTCCCAGACCCCTCCCCCAGGGGGAGGCAGGATTTTGGCTGGGGATGCTGGGCAGGGAGGCAGGGGAGCAAGGGCTGAACATCACCGTCTCTTCCCCAGGCGGTGCGCAGCTACATGAGGACAGAGTGCAAATGCCACGGGCTGTCGGGCTCCTGCACCCTGCGGACCTGCTGGCGGAAGATGCCCCATTTCCGCGAGGTGGGGGACCGCCTGCTGGAGCGCTTCAATGGGGCTTTCAAGGTGATGGGAGGGAACGACGGGAAAACCCTCATCCCTGTGGGTGACAACATCAAGCCCCCTGACAAGCAGGACCTCATCTACTCTGCTGACTCGCCTGATTTCTGCTCAGCTAACCGTAAGACAGGCTCACTGGGCACCCGGGGCCGTGTCTGCAACAGCACAGCCATGGACACGAGTGGGTGTGACCTACTGTGCTGCGGGCGAGGGCACCGGGATGAGACAGTGGTGTTGGAAGAAAACTGCCTTTGCCGCTTCCACTGGTGCTGTGTGGTGCAGTGCCGCAAGTGCTCCGTCCGTCAGGAGCTCAGCCTCTGCGTGTGACAGCCTGGGGTCAGCCAAGGACAATTTGGGGGGCCACCTCCAGGCTCACGCAGCCCCCCTGGGACAGAGACACGTGGAGCCAGTGGCAGGGACAGCGTGGGTGAGCCCAGCTCTGTGCTCTGGGGAGTTCTGGCTTCCCCAGAGGACATCATGGGGCTGCCTGGCATCCCCATGGCCCCCGTGGTGGGGGCTGGGGGCACAGAGCTTCCACTAATAAAGCTATTTAAAACTGGTGTGCCACAGCACTTCCTGGGGACCACCGTACTGGAATGGGACTGGCCAGAGAGCTGTCCTGCCCTAGCTGCGAGTCCCAGTCAGCCGCACTCCCTCAAGCCTCTGGTTTGTGCTGGCGTTGCTGGGACCTGTGGCAAAGCCTGCCTCATTTTTATCCACTCCCTGATTTTCTCTGTGGTTGTCAAGCCCAGAGATGTGCATGGATGAGGGTGAGTTACTCTGCACCTTCCAGGCTGCATGAGGGCTCTGCTCCCATCACCCATGGTCGTTATCGCTTGGGGGTGCCAGTTTGTGCCCCACCACCGCCTGACCTGGATGTTTGCAGTGACCTGCACTCCATGGTCCCTCCACTCATGCCTCATGCCAGAAGTACGGCTTCCTGCCCTGACACTATGGTGATGGGCTCTGAATTTTTTGAAGGGTTCCTGTATTCTTTTCACTCCAACCACCGCCAATGCAGTCCCCACTGCAGGGCCTGGCACAGAGAAGCCCTGGACAAGGCTGACACCATTGGCTTGGTGGCATGCAAGGCATTCACTTGGCATGCCATGGGCCACGTGCAGCCTCACCTGGATGGCAGAGTGCCAAGCATGTATGTCTCAGTAACCTGATCAGCCCGTGCCCCTCATGGACAAACACAGGGTGAGGAGCAGCCTGCCTGGCTGCCCAGCGAGGCAGGCTACCAAGCCTCTGCTCTGGGGGCTCCAGGGATCTCCAAGGGGGTCCCTCCCATGCTTCAAGGAACCCATGGGAACTGGTTTCTCCAGTGTTACCCAGAGTAGGGGTTTAGGTAACTGCAGAGGGGAATGTGTGTGTGCAGTGCCTGCTCAGCTGGTAATGCCCCACTGGGCAGACAAGTCCCAGAGGGATGTCAGGAGGGTCAGAGCCTGGGCAAGGAGGTCAACGCTCCTGTGCCTGCCCTCCATGCTGCAGCATGTGCTGGGCATGGGGGCTTTGCCTGTTGACCCCTCCACAAGAGGGCCCCAAGCTGACGTGGGCAATGCCCTAGGTGCTGGGTACTGCCAGATGGGGTAAGAGCTGAGTTTGAAGTGCTGGGCACACTGGTGGGCAAGGGGGGCCGCACCCCTTGCCCACCAGTGAGTCCCTCCTCGCCCACACTAGGCAGCCAGTGGGGAAGGGCAGGGAAAGCAGGGTGCTGGTGAACCATTAACTTGGCCCAGCAAGCGCTGGGGAGGGAGTCTCCAAATCTGTCAGTTGCAGCTTTGCAGCTGGAAATTCCCTCCTGACTTGCCCACAGTGGTGCTGGAAGAGGGGAGGCACAGAGGGCTCCTGGGAACTCCCAGCCATGCGCCTGCCCATGGAAACACCTGGGTGGGTGTGAGCAGCACCGAGTGGGTGCAAGTGAAGGTACCTGTGCATGCAAGCAGCTTGGAGTGTGTGCATGCACAAGTAACAGGTTTATGCTTGTTCATGACCATATGTGTGAGTGTGAGCTTGTGTATAACCTATCACTGTGTCTGTGAGCCCCTCATGGGTGTGTAAACAAGTTGGCCCACGTATCTTCCTGCAGCTCTATGAATATACAGCAAATTGTCAAGTGTGTGTGTCAGTGACACCGTCCCTGCATATACCTATGTATGTTTGTTTGCACACATCTTATTGTGTTTCCTCAGGGGTGTCTTGGACAGAGGGGACATGAGTGGGTGCAGAATGATCCTCCAGGAAGGGAGTTGCAGAGATGCAGGATCTGTGTTCTGGGAGATGCGGGAGCCATTTCATGGGCTCAGCAGGTCCCTTTGAATTGGAAACTCTTGAGCACACCTCAAGCCCTGCACTGCCTGTTGTGAGAGCTCAGTTCAGGAAGTTCTGTATAACTTTGGGTCATCCATGGTCTCCTCTGGAGCCAACACAGGCTGAGACAAGCTATAGAGGGATTCTGAAACCCTCTCAGAAATGTTCAAAGTCCTAGCTCTGACATTCAGCAAGTTCCTTCTCTGGATTCTGTCTCAGTTTCTCCACAATAGGCTGCTTTCATGCTCTGGGCTGCGTGGACATGGGTCTTGGAGGTCTGGCCATGGATAAACCCCAGGGAAGACATTTAGTACTTTTGAGAAAAGGATCTCGCCTATGTCCTCTCTGCCATTGCCCCAAATCACAGCTCCTAAAGGATGGAGATCACATAAGCCAAAAATGCAGAGGGGGAAGCAGATAGAAAATGGAGAGAAGTGCATGATCAGTGATTGTGGGGTGACTCCTCTGCACTTCCAGGAGTCACCTCTGCACTGTGTCTGTGAGCCCCTCATGAGTGTGCAAGTCAGTTGGACCCTGTGTCTTGTTTCCTGCCCAGCTGGGGAAAGGGCTAGCTCTTGTGGGAGTTGACAGGTTCTTACCACAGCTTCCTGCTACTCCCGAGCTGGCAAAGCCAAATCCATTCCCTTGGTAGGCAGAGAGGCTCTGGCACAGGCGAGTGACGGCAGTAGCCAGTCAGAATCTGGACCTGGCCCAGTGGTCTGTAGAGGGCTGAACAGCCAGCAGAGCCCCCTAGCAATCTCACATCTCTCCAGATGTCCATAGCTCCCCAAGAGCTCTCTATTCACTAGGACTCCACCCCAGATTCCTAAGAGACCCCAGCAGTCCCTAAGGGGCCCTCACCCCCTCATGTTACTTCCCAGGTGCCAGGAAGTGGCTTAGGAGTCCCCTAGATTCACAGACGTCCCGCAGCTATCCAGACCCTTAGGAGGCCTCTGAACCCCTTCAAGACCCAGCAGTTCCCAGCCCGGGGGGCGCAGCATCCCCGCTGTCGCCGTG